ACCCCTACAATCGGTTTCCTCCGCGACGAGATACAAAGACGGGTTGGTTGATCATTCCTCCCCCAAGCGTGACCTTGCTCCAGTCAGGCACACCACACACTCCGCGATATCGACATAAAACTCTCAATCTATCCCGCCTATTGTACGCCCCACCCAACGGCTCTTTCCTCTCCGTTCAGCACTCGTTAGGGAACACAAACAACATCCTCTCCCCTGCGTGCCATGTTCTTCCCTCTCGTTTCTTTACTCACACGTCCTCGTTACCCGCGTCTATCCCCATTCCACCATCATGTATCTCACCTCCATCTCTACCAACTCCTGGAGCTCAGCGTCCCCCTCGGAAAGGAGGTCAACCTTGTTGAGGAACACCACCAGCTCCGGCACGCCAACCTTTGAATGGAATGGATTGATTCACAAGACGATGAAACAAAATCGAAGGAAGGAAGGACCACACAAACCCGACACCAAACGAAACGAACGCAGCCACAGACGAGCAGCAACAATCGCAAGCGATAAACGACGTAAGGAGAAGAGCTCGGCCACGACAAGGCAGCAAGCCCCTCGCAGCAGCAGCAGCAGCAGCAGCACCACCACCACCACCACCACCGGCGGTGGCAGCAGCGATCGATGCTACACCCACGCCTGCGGAAGAGGTTTGATAAACGTTCAAGAACTCCGCCATGCACGACGGTGGGCCACCATTTTTCTTGTGAAACCAACCGCACGTCGTCAGATGGGACTTGAAAAAATAAATCGGGGTTACGGAACATGACGCCCTACCCCAAACGAACAAGCGACTCGCCTGGTGCGCAAGAAGGATGTGCTCCCGCGTCTGCGGCATTGGCCCGTCCGTCACCGAGACCACCAAGATGGCCCTGTGTACGAGAGCAACAAAAAAGCGGACAAAGCAACAGAAGCGGGCGGACGGCGGGGTGGGGGGGTGGGGTTACCACAACAGGTGGAAGGTAGACAAGGGGTAAGGGATACATGGCCATCGTGTTGACGGTGGCATCAACGAGCAGCTGCAGGGCGGCAAAAACGAAAAAAGGACACCCGAAATCGGCTTTCTTCCGTGAGGACGACAAAAAGATACGGAATTCGCCAGTACACACCGTAGCAGCAAGGAGATCGATATCCACTCTCAACAAACGGGCCCACAGAGCGCAACAAATGAAATCAGCAGGGGCTGCATCATCAGCAGGAGAGGAGGGCAAACACGTCGGTGCCGGCAACTGAAAACAACGGCAGAAGAAGCAGCGAGCGCGACATACTTTCACGGCCCAAAGACCAGCGTTGTGACACGCGCGGCAAGCCGGGCCCCGTGACCACAAGGCGGAGGCGGTAGTCGATGCCTTTGCAGGGACCAAAGGCAGCGCAGCACTCCTCTCCCGCACCCCGACGAACCTTCCCACGAGTACTTAACAGCTCTTCAAGCCCCGCCGCCTGCCATCGACAACAACGGAGGCAGGCAACCCATTCCCTTCAATAGCCACCACAACCAATCGACAACCACGGTCGACAAGCTCTAGCCCGGGGTGCCCTACTCACCCGTCCATCTGCGCAGCCCCAGTAATCATGTTCTTCACATAGTCAGCGTGCCCGGGGCAGTCGACGTGCGCGTAGTGCCGGTTCGCGGTCTCGTACTCTACGTGGGCCGTATTGATGGTGATTTTGCGTGCCCTGGGAAGGAGGGGGGGGGGGGCGCAAGAGACACGAAAGGACAACAGCCAGACGGGAAGAGGTCTCATGTTTCTGGTTGCCGATTTTCCCCCCGGACGCCGCGCTCTAGCCTGCAGGCAAGCCGCTCACGTTGCTGTTTGTACCTCCAGCACAAAACAAATGATGGGAACCAAAAAACATGTGAATACATCCGAGCACGGTGGCTTCCCACATCTCAGTGGCTTCCTCCACGCTCTGTGTGACTAACCAAAAGACCTCTCTTGGAGAGTCCAGCTTGCAAGATTGTATTCCAACCAGACTATTTCCATTGGATGAAAAGCGGCGGAACAACGCTGAGAGGGTGGGCAAGTCCCGACCTCCTCGATACATTCATCCACCAGAGCGAATCGCTATCGCTTGGGGCGACCAGTCCAGTCTGGGGGGGGGCGGGACTCACTTCTCCTCCGGGGCGTTGTCGATATCGGTGTAGGTCCTCGCCTTGCACAGACCCCTGTCGGACAAGACCTTGGTGATTGCCTTCGGAATTGACGAGTTCAGTCCCGATCCGACGTGTCAACGCCCCCGCCCAAGTTGCAACGCGCGAGGGAAGACGATACGGGCGGGCGAAAAGAAGACGAGGCATTGTCGTGAAAAGGGGCATCGGGGGTAACTTATCGATTTCCTCTACATGTGATGAGGCAGCTAACCCTACACTAACATCATTATATCCAACACATTGGAAAACACTATAGGACCCTGATTGCACCAGTCGGTGTTCCCACGCGATTTGAGGGTCGACTCTGGTTGGCGCCTTCAACGAGAGGGCACCTTGTCACGCGGTATTCTTACGGCGGTACTGAAATATGACGGTACCGCCTTCGGCGGTTCCCGGTACTGCCAAAGATGGCGGTATTTTTCTTGCAGTACTGAAATATGGCGGTAATACCTTATTCGGTCCCGGTACCACCAAAATATGGCGGTTTTTACCTGGTGGTATTGAACTATGGCGGTATCGCCTTCGGCTGTCGCGGGAAGACCAAAATATCAAAATATCCAATACTAAAATATCAAACATAGCGATGCAAGACTACATGCGGTGCGCCCCATCAACCGCCAAACCTCTGTTCTCACTTTGCGGCGCGAGTTTTTTGTAATGTACCGTTGAGAGCGTATAGTCCCCCTATGATTTCGTGATTTCACGAGTCTACGCATACCCATAGTCAACTTCAGCAGTCTCATGGCGAACGAAAGGCAACCAAAATATTTCTTCACAGCGACGGTTGTCACGCCCAGCCCATCAGCTCCAGAGGAATGATTCCCACACTGAACACTATCAGCCCCAGAGTATGAACTGAATGCTCAGCGACGTTTACGGCTCTCGGTTGTTCATATACGATCTGCATGTGGCGTTCGCACCGCTTGGTGTGGGTGCGTGGTTGTGCACATGGGGGATGGTTATGACTGCCCCAATTTCGTTCACCAGTCCCTTCTAATCGATTACTGAACGTAGAAAGCCCTGGGTCGACGGTACATGCGTCGTGCATGGTGGGGGCATTGATGCGTACGCATCCAACCTCAGAGGTGCCGTGCAATAACCTGCTTGTGGTTGTGTTATGTTACCCCCCTCTAGTCATCACCCGGATGCCAGACGCGCTTGTCGGCGGGAAGGCTATGGAGGCCGAATTTAACTTGGTTTTAATGTTCCGCCGTAACAGCAGTACACACAACTGCTTGTGTAATAAACACACAAACAAGGGAGAGCATCCAGATGTACGTGCGTTCGAAACAAACACCATCCCAACTTCTACACAGAAGCACCACACCATCCTATGACTCCTCTTTTGTGATGGCTGTTTTCGTGGCTCATTTCCCCTAATTTTAACTCAGCGTGCGGTACTACATACACTCCGGTGTATGCTGTGGAGTCGGAGGCCACACACAACAGGAGGTCAAACAGAGTCGTGTGCAAACCACGAAGGAGGCTCCTGCAACATGCAGCACAGATCATGACCACTTGGTGCTCTTCAAGCATCTCATCTCCGAGCTATAGTAGGCAAAGAGGTGGCCCCGCTGCGGGTCTACACCATCCAGGGATGCCTGCTGGGGGGAGCGGCCTTGGGCGCTTCGTCAGTCACGCCGCGTTCGCTCCACACGACAGGTGCAACCCGACTTCGAAACCCACTTGTTGCGACACGCGGTGGACCATCGATTTGCACTCACCGCCGTGAGCGTAGTCTTGCCGTGGTCAACGTGTCCAATGGTGCCGATGTTCACGTGCGGCTTGGAGCGCTCGAAGGTCGAAAGCTCAGCAGCCGCCGAAGCCCCCGACAATCGTGGTTCCGCGGGGCCTGCTACGCGCGTGGCGCGCAGGGCGCTGCTCAGCTTGAACGACTCCACGCACTTCGAGCGAGCGCGAACAGACGCACGGTTGACAGCAAGGCGCAGCGCCATGTTTCGATAGTAGGGGTCACAGCAGTCACAGCAGCACAGCAGCAGGCAGCACTACGATAGATCGGTCGCCCGCGAGGCCTGGAGAGCGGGGGTCGGTGGATGGGAGTATCTGTCAGAGAGGCTCCGCGAAATATACTGGGTACCCCCGGCCCCACCGGACATTATTATGATCTTGTGAGGATGGATCGTATCTTTCATCCAAGAAATACATGCGCAACAACGTGAGGATAGTTGCCTTCGAGTAACCTTTGAGCCCATGATACACTGGCCACGCTTAATAGACCAATACGCTCCTGCTACACTCTCTGTGTGACGAGAAGAAAGTAGCCGAAACGGTTGAAGATTTCAAAACCACTTTACCCAACCAACCAAAGACCTGCCGCATCCACCGAGCGTACATGGGTGCCCAAAGGCCAGGTTGTGGGTAGGTTGGGGCGCTGATTACAAACTAGGGTGGGGAGGTCGCATGCCGAAGCATGCAGCCGATTCCGCATCTCGGAGAGTGGCGTCAATCCAACAATTACGGCGGACTGGCAGCCAGCATAGACAAACACCGTGTGTTCGTTGTTAGGTAATCGTCTGTTCAACTTTCTCACCCGCACCAACCTTCACAGATTGTGAGTGGTGCCCAAACTTCCCCTCTGGCGGCACCTGGTACATTTGCTGCCTGGTGAATGCCATCAGACAAGGGCGGTGGTGTTGACATCATCGCCCCGCACTGAAGACGTGCAAAAAGACGTTGGGTGTACGCATGAAGAGTGATGCTTCACATGAATATTTCGTATATCGGAACTCGACGTCCTATCGGCTCGAAACAATTTTCTTGCAGAACGATGGAGGGTGATTCAGCAAACACGTTCGCATTGCTGGCGCCAAGTTCTGGAGGCAGCAACAGCGACAGCCACACAATCCACGTTTCTTAGAAAAAAGACGTCACAGACAGACTATGTACCCGTTCGAGAAAATATCATGTTCGTTGAAGTCTTTACAGCATTGAGCGATGGATGAAAGAAGCCTGCTGATTGCTGCACATGTGCGTCTGCCTGAGTAGTTAAGCCTAGACTATAGTGTAGTCTAGACCGAGACATTAAATACTTCTTTCAACGCCAAAACAGCCCACTAAACTCGTAACTTGCGAATCTGGTGTACGACGACACATTGAGTCCATTAATTTCGCCCAACCACCGTGCGCTTTCGAATCGCTTTCACCGGGCCGACACGGTTCTTCGAGAACTAATACCGCCCTCTTTTCCCGGAAAAATCTGACACGCTAGTGGGCACATGACACTCCGACAAACAGCTGGTACTGTACGCCACTGAAATAGCGGTAGCACAGCATCCAAGTAAAATTGACCGCATTGTCGACCGTACCGTTCAGCGTGAAACGACACAACCAACCGTGAAAGTCCTTCAAAACAACGTCCAACAACGTTATACTTCAAAGCTAAATTAGCGGGAAAAATTAATCTTCACACCCAAAACATTTCTTGAACACGAGCAAACAATATTCTTCCTTTGTGCACTTTGCCTACCCTTATTCAAGGAACAAAAAAAAAACATGAACCTTATCCTCGTCTTCGTGGAGAGAGGTTCGAAATTGGTTCTCTCGAATGGTCGGGCTCTTTCTTGGTATTGTGGTTTTCATTGACCCAAATGGTGGATTAGACTACACCTTTGAGTTAGGAAATCGGAAAGGGAAGACAAGCTGGGACGGTCGAACAACACGCAGACAACAGCAACAAAGGGGAAAGACTGTCGGAACATTTTGGTATCCTGTGGTATCAAATCCACCAAGGACAACAGGCATGTCATAATGAACTCACTTTCCCGATAACCAAGCGCAACATATTTGCGCATCATTTCCTGACTTTTCTTGGTCTCCACCCCTAAGTCAGTTTTCCTGACGAGACCCTCCATCAAAACTTCCCCGCCACCAACAAGAGTATAGAGCCTGGCTCCTATCACCGCCCCCGTCCACCGCGGCCACCGCCACGCCTCTTTCTGGTCTCGCCACCGACGTCGGCATTGGTATCACCCCCGTTCCCCTGTCCATTTCCGCCGCCACCTCCTCCTCCGGCTTTCCCTGTTTCCTTGCCTGCTCACGACGAGCAAGGAAACACGCGCGTCGGGGGCAAGACCATAACTTTCCTGCAGAAACAAACAACTTCGGTAAAATGCTTTGCCAATAGAGAGACTTGGAATATGTCTTTGTGCCTTCTCTGTCTACCTCGAGCTGTCTCCACCCCTGCCTGTCGGCATCCCTCCTCTCTCTTTTTCTGCCTATTAGCTCTCTCTCTCTCTTGCACAACTCGCTCGTTGTCTCTCCATACGTATTCATGTGTGAAACAGAAACGACGTGTAAGTAGTGGGCTGTGTCGCTCTCACTGTTGCACGGGGGCGTATCAACCACCACAGCTGTAGTGAGCAAGCGTGAATCCTAGGGGGAAGTGGGAACACGGACTCTGGTGTGGAGGAACAGGGGCTGGGAAAGGGTGGGGCCTCAAAACTCGCTCCGCGATGGCTAGACTGAAGGGAACGAGAAGCACGCGGGGCAGTACCGCCCACCGGCAAAAGGCAAGACGTGCAATACGTCAGCACCTATCCATCCCACCAGCATGCACGCATTCATCCGATTAAACGCGTAGACAAACCCCGTCAGTCACCTGCTTGCGTAATTCCTATCGAAGGTTGAGTCATTCTATTGCGAAAAGGGACGCATTACACAGACTGGCTAAAGGGACAAGGAGTTAGAGAGAAGAAGCACCGGAGACAACACGGTAGCAAGTGGGGATCCTGAGGGTAGGTTGTCCTTCAAGCTACAAGCTAACATTCGGTCGATCGCCAACTGCAAAACGATGCACCTGTAACACTTCCCAAGGTCGCCGTGCGGATAGTTGTATTACTCTCCTCTCTCGAGTTTCTCTTCGCTCGAGCTCGAGCACGGGTTTCCTGCCGTCATGAATTCGTACACCAATGCTTGCCTCGTACACAGCGGCAAGGTTGCATATAGCATTCACCACAAGACGTCGAAGAAGAGATAGAGAGCGGCGGTTGTTCCCGTACACACGTTTGTTTTCTACATACAGACTTGGCCACCCACAATCAAACACAATACACTAGCTGTGCCTTTACCTTCCAACTCGTCCATGAGGGTGTCGATGTCAACGGGACCGCCAGAAGGCTGAACACCCTCAGCCTCCTGCTGCAGCGTGTTCGCCGCACGAGAAATCTGGAGGCGAGCCAAAAGGGGAGTACGCATTACTAATAGTTGCCCGCCGTTAGTCGACCAATATCATTGACCAAGCATCATCCCCTGCGAGGACAAAGCTTGGATTCCTGCCTCTGGAAAAGAGCCACCACAGCATTCGAGGGACCCTGTAACTTTCGGTCAGGGCGGGGGGCTGAGAATCATGCCGTGCACCGCGGTTGCATCTCTGCGTAAGGGCTGGAATGGGGTCAGTCGGGCTTGTACTTAACAAGCAAGCGTTGCATAAAAAACGGCGACGCATGACAAGCGGTGAGCTGCCCGGCCGCAACAAGCAAATGGTGAGCGACAGCATCCCAAGGCGGAAAGGAGGAACGTTTCGACAGTGATTGGTCCATTGATAACTGAAACTCCCCGACACACCACTTATGGTCATCGTAAGATAATCCACAACACGCTTCGGTAGATCGCTGTTCGTAATATTATAGGTGATGAGTGATGCCACAAGCACCATCTCCTGCAGACAGGCTGTCAACAACCTTAAGCCTTGGATCTAGCAGGCGCAGCAGCACGACCGCCAGGGAGAGCGAAACGGTGACTTGGACTCAGAGCGTTAGACAGACGGGGAGATACGCACAGGCAGGCATTAGCTGCCAACGACAACCATGCGCTCTGCCACGGCTGGAAGAGCCGTCCAACTGTCCAAACGCAGTAAACGTGATTTGTATATTTTCTCGAACGCTGACGTCACGCACAACGCCAGGAACCTCGGCCAACCAGAATTCACCGGTGACGAAGTTAACCCACAAGAAAAACGGCAGGAACACAACTCCATTCTTCCAAGAATCCAATAACACTTAAACGAAGTCAGCTTGTCGAACCTACTGCCTTTCGTGTCAAGGGACGCCGCCATTGAACGCCCAAAACATTTTTTCCCCCCAGGCACGCCCCGTGTTCGCCATCGGGGCTGGGTTTTTGTCGCTTGGCAACGACCTTGTAAAACAAGCCATTTCACTTCGTGAACTCGGCAACCAGGTTACCGTGCCCCCCCCCGGTGTTTGCCATCGGGGTTGGGTTTTCGTCGCTTGGCAACGACGTTGTAAAACAAGCCGCCCCCCCCGGTGTTTGCCATCGGGATTGGGTTTTCGTCTCTTGGCAAAGACGTTGTAAAACAAGCCAATTCACTTCGTGAACTCGCAACCAGGTTACCGTTTTTTTTTTTACCTCCGTTTTTTTTTTTGGCGGTAACCATAATGGTGGTCGAGTAGATCATGTTGTGCGGGGTGGAGAAACCTCGCTCCGCGCAAGGGGGATGATCGCACCACGTTGTGTTTAAATGGTCAAGCACCCTCGAGGCAGTTACACAGTGCTTACAAATGTCTCTGGAAGTGAAAGCACCAGAAAATAAATTAAGTCATACGCAGCTGTCATCCGTACGCAAGGAAGTAAGCACAAGATGCCGAACACCCTTAGCAGGATGCAGCTCACCCTTCATGCGACTCGCCGAATATCTCACGGCGCTTCGCGCTTGGTGATGTGAGAGCCTGGTCCGGTGAGAACCCGGCGTGCTCCGTCCCGGCT